ATTTACATTTGATAGCTGAACCCGGGTCCCTAATAAATCAGCGGCCCTCTCCTTGTGAGCGACGCTTGCGAACGTTCGCAGGACTGCGCCGCAGAAAACATCCCATGTTCGGAGCGTGGACTCCCGATTTTCGAGCCAGGTCCTTGCGGTGTCTTCCAAATAGAAGAACACACGACGGAGCTTTCGTCATGGTCCCAGTGGTTGAGGGCGGCCACACGGTCGTATGTTTCGCCAGGACTCCAGGTCTTCGAACGATGACCCATGGAAAATTGGTGGTTCCCTGGGTTAATGTATGACCATCGTAGGCTGGGACGCTGCGGTTGTCATTGTCGCTGCAGTCGCGGTCATGGCCTTGGTCTTCCACGTCTTGACTTGTAGAAGCCCGTACTCCGGTGGTAGCCGTTGCTGTCGGCGGCTTGTTCGCTGCTCCTGGTTAGCGTCGGTGTCTTCTCCGCGACGTGGGCTGGGTTCACGGCTTGACGGGGGCGTCCGGTACATGAACGAAGCAGCACCTCCACCAGATGTCACGGGGTCGTGACGTGGCCGAAGACAGGAGATTTTATGTTGGGATTTTACTGTTTATTTAGGCGAGCCTGTGCCTGGTACACGGAATGTTCGATTACAGTAGCAGTCTTGCACAGATAGCAGTGAACGGAGCGTCGGCCGTCGATCAACTACTGACAAGCGGTGAAGCGCGTCGGCATTTACACTCTTACCGTCGAATGTTCTAGCGTTATCGCTGGCGGTGGCGTAGGTTCCTGAATGATCTGTACAGTTCGCAGAGTCGGCATGATCTTATCGAAATGATCTACTACAGTCCGGAAGCTTCTCGAAAACTGCAGGTGCGGTTTGCGCTGAGAATTGTGTAGTGTTTTGGGACGATAACAAAACTTGCGAAATGAATCGTTGCAATATATATATATATATATATATATATATATACTGAAGGAAGTGTATACTGAAGGGCTTGGTTTTCCGTGTTTTGACAATAATATTGAGATCTAACAGACAATAAGGCCAAGGAATGTCTAGCGAAATTTATTACACCAATTGTATTGTAAATGTGAAGAAAGAAAAGTGGGTGAAAAGATGACTGGAACCGATTCCTGCTCACGGCAAGTTATCTTTTCACCTACCGTTCTTTCTTCAAATTTACATTACCATTGGTCTAATAACGTTCCCTATATTTTTCTTGGCTTTAATGTCTGCTAGATCTAAGTATAAATATATATATATATATATATATATATATATATATATATATATATATATATATATATATATATATATATATATATATATATATATATTGTCCTGCGTCCTGCGCGACCACAGCGGAAGCAAATTGGCTTATCATCAGCTGTTCGCCATTCAGACGGGTTCCTGGTTCGAATAGAGTACGGACGGCGACGTCTCATGTCCACAGAAGCTATCGAGGGGCCAGTATTATCCAGTGTGGATGCAGTGGACAGGATACCAAGGTTAGCAAATTCCTGGCGGACAACCGCCTGGATCAAGGCGACAGCTGGCGTTGAGGCGTCGGGCAACGTCGGTTTGTTGGCAGCCGGGTAAGCGGCCTCGAGTTCACGTCGGACGATGCGCGTCACGTCGTCGGTTGTAGACGGATGACAAGGAGTGGCTTCGCAAGACGACGTTGCCGCGGTGTTGGGTAGGCGCTGAAACTGCTGCAAAATGCGTCGACTCTTCGCCTGCTTGATTATATATATATATATATATAAAGATATATATATATATATATATATATATATATATATATATATATATATATATATATATATATATATATATATATATATATATATATATATATATATATGAGAACTAACAGACAGTAATGCCAACGAATGCATAGGGGAAGTGATTAAAACAAATGGAATGTCCATAGCAAGATAGAAAAGTGGGTGAAAAAATAACCAGTCGTGAGCAGGAATTGAACCTACGACCTTCGAATAACGCGTTCGACGCTTTAATCACTGATCTATCACAGCGGCCTTCCCTCACCCCACTTTTTTGGGCTTATATGTAAATTTATGAGTAGGAGTGTCGGTCATCGCCATCTATAAGCCAAGCGGCTAGTGTGAAACACCCTTTTATGAGCATGTGTGGTGCCACGTAGCACGTGAACGTATTACGAGTGGCAGCTGACCAATAGTCCCTCGTATACAACCTAATGAGACCAAGTCTGTCAGTACGAGACCCTCGTTAATGAATAAAGGAAGGAAGTGTATACCAAAGGGCTCGTCTTTCCGTGTTTTGACACAATAATAATGAGAACTAACGGACAGTAATGCCAAGGAGTGTATAGGGGAAGTGATTAGAACAATTGGAATGCCAATAAGAAGAAAGAAAAGTGTGTGAAAGAATAGCCAGCCGTGAGCAGGACTCGAACCTACGACCTTCGAATAATGCGTTCGACGCTTTAACCACTGATCTATCACAGCGGCCTTCCCTCACCCCACTTTTTTTGGTTTATATGTAAATTTAGAAGAAGGAGTGTCGGTCATCGCCATCTATAAGCCAAGCGGCTATAGATAGTGTGAAACACACTTTTATGAGCATGTGTGGCGTCACGTAGCACGTGAACTTATTACGAGTGGGCAGCTGACCAATAGTCCCTCGTATACAACCTAATGACACCAAGTCTGCCTGTACGAGACCCTCGTTAATGAATAAGGTAAATAAGTGTATACCTAAGGGCTCGTTTTTTTGTGTTTTGACGCAATATTAATGAGAACTAACAGACAGTAATGACAAGGAATGTATAGGGGAAGTGATTAGAACAAATGCGATGTCATTAAGAAGAAAGAAAAGTGGGTGAAAAAATAACCTCAGGTGGTCGACATTTTCGGAGCCCTCCACTAAGGCGTCTCTCATAATCATATGGTGGTTTTGGGACGTTAAACCCCACAATTCTAATCTGCATTCAAGACATGTCACGCCGGATCACTGGTGTCATGTTTTTACCATATATTCTTCGCATTATTCGTACGTTATCAAAGAAATCAAAGCAGTTCATCATGGCGCAGTGATGCTTATTTATAATGCTTTTTGGCGCCAGCCTATGACTATAAAACCTTATCTGTTCGGTATGTTCCATCATTAAAGCATCGCAACCGTTTGCTAACGCATTTCAACACGTTCTACTGCATGAAGCTCCCCCACCCCCACCAATTTTATGTTGGGGCCTCGCATTTCTAATTTCCTCTTCGTGCTAGGCATAACTTGCGAATTACTGGCCCCTACAGCCGCTCTACGACGTCGCGTGTCCTTTCTTCCTCTGTGATGGAGTAACCAGAACGACCTGCCTCTTCCCATAGCAGGTATCTATACTGTCAAACAGCCGTTCAGGTACTAGCATTCTTCATTGAATGGTAACTAACTGAAAAAAAAATAATTGGCATCAGCACATCTGTGTACCTCCCCATCAGGCGTCACTTCATGCGCCGCGGGAGCAAGATCAATGACGCGGGTTCGCATTGAGGATGTGGTGGCTGCGTTCTGATGCAGCCCAAGATCAGAAACGGTGGCGTATATACATTTACGTGCGCACCAAGTAACCACACCACAGTAATTTTTGTCATACTAAAGCGTGTCTCATAACTGTAAAGTGGCTTAGCACTGCAGGCCTCATAAATTATTTTTGAGTGGAATGCTTACATGGTGAATTTAGATTATTAGAAAAAAATGTGTTTCTCATCCTAACATGTTAAAAATTACTTTACGTCACTCGCTAAGTTAGAACTGCACAAAAACACGAAACGCACACGAAACTTTGAAGTATGGAAGGTGCTTAGGTTCTGGAACAACCACAGCCTGCAATCACTAGCTCACTAGCTCATAATCACTAACCATACTTAACCGCTACAAACACACAACCGCAATAAATAAAAAAAACATCTACCCGACCCCTTTTTATCTTTATAATAACGCTATAACTTTGTTTCTTGTACGAAGTATTAATGTTACATTTTATGTGTACGTGTGATGTATGCTGATCTGTATGTATAATGCTTTCGATGTGAATGCCATGTAAAAACACTTGTTGACATGTGTCATATATGCGCTATTGCCATGCAAGGTACCCTCGGCCTTCTTCAAGCCGCTGCGACAGCTTATTGCCCAGGTGTCCCTCCAGATTGTTTTCTGCTAAATAAATTGTAATGAAATGAGGTGAAGTGAAAAATTAACGTTTCACAGCCATTTCACCTACAGCTGAGTCAACTTTGGCCACGTAGTCGCAGCAGGCAAAAAAAAAAAACGAACTGTTATAAATCTAGCCGCACATTGCTCCACTTGGGTGAAAGATGCATAATATAGAATTTGAAGCCTTCAAAAAGAAAAGGAAAGGGATAAAATACGTATAGTAGTAACCATTGAGGCTGATAAGAAGCTGATAGTTTGCATGGACAGCCACTTCACTTAAACTTCGCCCATAGCGTTCGCTAAACAAATGAAGCCTCATGCTGTGAATCACTCTTCTTCCTCTGCGAAAAATTATGACTGACATGAACGAAAGCACATGTGCCATCTTACTGCCAAAATAGTTTGTTCAAGGAAGCCGCGCTTCCTTTTCCGATATGAATTTTCGTTCTTATCGGTCGCTCACACGCGTTGAGAAAATACCGATATCGTAGGCCTATATCAGAAACAATCTCCACCAGCGTAAATACTGCTACCAGCCCTGTCAAAAAAACTGTATTTGTGTGAAGAAATTAGCGATATCCATCAGAAAGCCATGTCCAGCAGATAGGAAGTGCGAGGGACGCTTCCCGCTTGCCGCCACAGCGTGCGGTGGCGGACGGAAGAGGCGCGGACTCTGGGCCACTCCAGGGTCCGGTGATTGCCGACCGCCAACATCTCTTTCCCTGGGGCCGAAGTAGGTTAGTGTGCTGCCGTGGCTAGGAGAAAGGGCTCTCGGTCACGTGGTAGGCGCGCTATAAGAAGCCCGTCTCGGCGGGCGGTCGCGCGTCTCTGGCGGACACGCTACCCGCAACAGCAGCAACAACAGCTCCTACCGCGCGCGAGAGGCAGTCATGCCAAGCAGCAGCCTCCTGGGAAGCCGCCGGCCGGCCGGGGTCACTGGCACCCATCGGGGTCAGTGCGCTTGGGCGGCCTGGACGGTGCTACTCCTCATGGTCTCTGCAGCCGCAAAGGCGGCCCCGACCACGGTGAGTTCATTTCCTTGGCCCTCGTGTGCGTATGGGAAGACGTCGAATGCGTGTTCTATGGATGGTGTCAACGCTCGATCAGGTCGGTCTTCATTATCAAGTACGTGAACAGTAGCCGGAGCAAGCTACCTTCACCGTCCGCCCCAGGACTAGAAGAAGAGTGGCCTTGCTTTGTGTGTTGGTGCGCTTGAAATCTGGCAATCTCATCTTACGCCCAGCATCACTAGTCTTCCGTACTACCTTCATTCGCCGCGTCTATCGTGGACTTACTTGATTGTTTACACTGGGTTTACTCATTTCTGCAAGTCGTCGTCATAGAAGATGCGGCACTTTCTCGAATGATCTTTGTCCCAGCTCAGCACGGAGATCGATGATGCATGTTTGTTTCAAGACACGTCGAGGAATGCTCGTCTCCACTTTTGGGGTCGCATCCTTCAGGCTTCATTGACGTATCCAGCGCGTGCTTCTTCCGTGGCACATCATCGTTATGGCATCAATGAACGAAGCGACGAAGAATTTGGCCACGTGTCGCCAAGCGTGTCTGGTGTGAGAGTTTATTTATAGCGTCGTGGTGTCTCTAAAAACACCTCTCTTCTTCAGTGGTAGTTTCTCGTAATTGAAAGGAATGACGTCTGGACTTCCCTTTTACATCGTCGGGCAAAGGAATGTTTTTTGTAATGTTTGTTTCTCGACGAATGCTCGTCTCTATTTTTGGGGTCACATCCTTCAGACGTCATTGACGTATCCAGCGCGTGCTTCTTCCGTGGCGCATCATCATTATGGCATCTATGAACGGAGCGACGAAGAATTTGGCCACGCGTCGCCAAGCGTGTCTGGTGTGAGGGTTTATAGCGCCGTGGTGTCTCTAAGAACGCCTCTCTTCTTAAGTGGGTGGTTTCTCGTAATTGAAAGGAATGACGTCTGGACTTCCCTTTTACATCGTCTGGCAAAGGAATGTTTTTTTTTGTGGTGTCAAAAATATCAACATCTTATTCATTCAAAAAAGTGCCACTTGACACAACAGAGCTTCGCAATGCACTGCTAAATATTATTTCATAGGGAAACATTTTCTATTTTGGGGAAGACAGTGTCGAGCAACCAATAACGCCTATTATGGCATTTCTATGATAGAATATTCAGAATGGCCTTCGCATTTCGGTAGCCTGTGCTCTGTAAATTCATTCTGGCTCAGTGCAGAAATACGCTTGACGTGTGTCTTCTGAAATACTAAGGCAGAATACAATGAGAGTGTTTTCATGGCTGTGTAGCATCCTTGTCTTGTTTTGATAGTTCAATACTTGTGGTCTTGGCAGTTTCTCTTTCATGATAGGAGCTTACTGAGCTTTTACAAAAACAATTATATTTCATTGCACTCTTCCAGAGTTGTTCTGGCTTTATTTATATTTTTATTACCATCACAAATTCAAAGTGGGAGAAGCGGCATCTGAAAGTCAACAAAAAGCAATGAAATACGCAGTGCGTTTAGGTATATACTGAAAATATAGTTGCGAGTATTTCATTTTAACCAATCACGTAATATGAACAGTGTGCGCACCCAAATAAAATGACATGACAGTATAGAACAGAAGCCGCTTGTACAGTGTCTAGTAATTCAAACTTCGAGAAACGTTATGTGATCTTCACTCAATGTCAGCGGAAAAGTCCTTTCAAGTGCTCATAATTTAGTTGTGCTGAATAGGAAAGATGAGTTCTCGCGTTTAAAAAAATACCTGCACAAGCCGAGATAATAAGATTGGCGGTTGAAAAAAGTACTAATGCTTCTGAGTGCTGATTGAAGCTCAGCCAATCAAGTACTCTTCCTGATCTACTGTGCATGAAAATTGATAGTTTAAAAAGACAGCCAGGCTTGCACACAATTCGCAGCACAGTCACAGTGAAAGCAGGGAAAGCGGTCTTTCTAGAGCCTTTCATAAACCCTTTGTGTGACTACAACATGTACACTTGCAGGCTAACAACTACGCAAAAAAAAAACATATTTTTGTGTTGTAGGAAACATTTATTATGTCATTCTTCATTGTTCTTTGAAGAAGCAAGGTAGCCGCTGCACACTTGGGAGGAGTTATGTGATTTTTGTTTATTCTGTGGCTGACGACGTTGAAGAATTACACCTGAAGTTTCTGTAATTGGTTAGAGCAATTGACGACCCACTCGTCACGGTAAAAAAAAAACTGACGTAGCTCGTATGTAGAACACCGGGACGGCACGCAGAAGGCTCCATTCTTTCCTCCACACTTTTTATTGAGCTTTTTTTTATTTTCGCGCGATAGTGATTAGTACGGACACTGGCGGCAGCCGGCAACAACGTCCCCAGCAACGACAGTCATTGTGATATCATAAGAGGTTTTGCTCAAAAAGAGAGATCGCCGGAAATCAGATTACTATAAAGTAAAAATGGTGGTGAGTAGGCATCTATGCATGCATGAAAAAAATCGCAGCATAACCACCGAGTGAATATTGATGAGTGGGCCGGAACTTCGGAGGGTTTTATCGGTAAACAGTAAATCGTCCGTCCACCCGCTGGCCGCGTTGGTGCATCCGTCCATCCGTTCATCTCTGTCTTTCCACCTGTCTGTCTATCGGTCCATCCATCCGTCCGTCTCTCTGTCTGTCCATATGTCCGTCTGTCCATACATCTAGTGAACACTCAACGTACCGCCATCTCGCAGCTTTTCATCATATTATCATCATTAAAGTTACTGTATGTGCTACCTTTAGGTAGCAGAGTTGCGTCACTGTTTTCCGGGCGCCGCTCGCTCCGCCTACATGAGTTCAGCGCCCCTATTCGCCGAGCGCCATCACGTGGTCATAAGTGGTTTAAATGCACTGCGGAAAAGCCAACGCTATGATGATTCCGGGCAGATCAAGCGTGGTTGGCATCGGCTGTTGTTTCACATCAGCTGTCGCGAGCCGCGATTGTAATACGAGCACAATAGAGAGCCGTGCGTAATATGGGCGTCACATGGTACCCTCGATTGCTGTACAGCTCGATTCAGTTGAAGGCGATACAACTACACTTGGCTCCCTCACACAGTTAACAAATGAGTCCGACATGATGAAAAAATTTGTTCCCTAACTGGTTCGATTGCATTCAAAAGTGCAAAAATAATTTCATACTTGTAAATGGAAAAACAGCGGAAAAGGCGAAGCTAGTGTAACCAACCATCAATATGTATCTCACTGGTTCAACAAGCTACGCAGTTTGTTTTATTATTCCATACCAAGAATGTAGGCATCAAATCAAGGCTTCTAGGTGTGAACGGAGCAACTGAGTTTCTCTCATACTTTAATAAATATAAAGAAAGCGAAAAAGTAAGTAAAGCAACACTAGTACCATAAGTCCCTCAATATTGAGAGACTATGTAGCACTCTGAAGCGCGAGCGTTGCTCCTATGCGGGATGGTGAGTGGCTTTCCCGCAAGACATTTGAACTCAAGATGGCGTACCTTGGCGCAACTCTGCTACCTAGAGGTAGCATATATAGTAACTCTAATCATCATATAGAAGTACCACCATCTAGCGGACAATCCAAGAACTAAACAGGAGGTGGCTACCTAGAACTACATACATCGAGGACTCACGACCCATGGCTTCAGGGCTTTAGCCCTTAGAACAAACGTAAAAATGACCGGAGAAACTGAGCAAAAGACGAAGAACGAGCGCTGTCTAAGGACCTAATGTCCTTTTTTCACTGAAGTGTTCTCCGTTCTTTTTGCGCCTGCTTTGAAGAGTACTCAGAATCCTAATACTTCTAAAATCACGAGTTTTAAGTGAATTCTGGCAATGGGTTGATTGCATATATGTCCTTAAAATTGGCCAGTCATGCCTTAGGGATAAATAGTTCGGCACAAATGATTACTTTTTGTAGAACATTTGAAGCTCTACTATAATTCGCACGTATCACGTGAGGCGTTCGAAATGCGAGAAAGATTAGATGCTGCTATTTACTTTCAGTAATGAGTAGAAATTGCCTGCGCGGGCATGCATGCTGAGGAGCTTATAGGCTGTTGCCATTCACGCCTATGGTTTCAGCGGCCCTTGGCAAAATTATCTTCACAAAGAGGAAACGCTAGCTGCTAGCCGAAATTAAACTTGAAAGGGGTACCCCAGGCCTTGTCGCGCGGCTTGTGAGAATCACAAAATAACCACGAAGAATAGTTGAGACGCCGTTGTTGGATATGCGCAAAGAAGCATCCGTTAATGTTTGAGCCTTAGGTTAACGTTAGCACGTGCTATATGAATAATTGATTGATATGTGGGGTTTGACGTCCCGAAACCACCATATGATTATGAGAGACGCCGGGCTCCGGAAGCTTCGACCACCTGCGGTTCTTTAACGTGCACCCAAATATGAGCACAAGGGCCTACAACATTTCCGCCTCCTTTGGAAATGCAGCCGCTGCAGCCGGGATTCGAACCCGCGACCTGCGAGTCAACAGCCGAGTACCTTAACCACTAGACCACCTCGGTGGGGCGTTCTACATAACTAATTTCAAATGTAAGCTAAAGAAGTAAGCCTACGAAGAGGCCACAACAGACACGCAAATCGGTTGAGTGAAGTCGCAGGGTTCGCTCTTTCGAATTAACGCGCTAGATGACTTCTGACGGGTGCTGTGTAGTGACCAGGTTTGAGCATTCGTTCTTAACGTAACTCATTATTTTCGACACTCTCCGGAAAAAAGTACAGTGCTCATGTGGGAAAACTGCGCACCTGAGGCAGTGTTGCGTTCTGAATAGCACTGTGCTTACGCGCAGCCGGAGCCTACCTCTACGGACAATGTGAACGTGACGGCAGTGGCGACTCCAGTGGCGACAGCCGAAGTCAACAGCACAGGCGGCAGCGGTGGAGGAAGCGAGACGGGATTCTCATGCGAGGGCCGCATTTTCGGCTACTACGGGGATCCGGGCAACTGCTCACTTTTCCACTACTGCGAGCCATTCGCTGACCCTGAGAACAACCAGTTCGTGCTGCACGCGGCCTACCTGTGCCCCAACGACACTGTGTTCAACCAGCTGAGCCTGACATGTGCCTACGCTCACGAAGCGCTGCCATGTCGCCGCGCGCCCGAATACTACTACATCAACTCGCACGTTGTACCCGCCGACAGCAGCCAGGACGGCACGCAGGTGAGTCGCATTCCTAGGCGCATAATGTCAAGATATACCGAATAATAGTAAAAATATCTGGGGTTTGCGTCCCAAACTACAATACGAGAGATGTCATAGGGGAGGGCTCCGGAAAGTTCGACCACCTGGCGTTATTTACCAGTGTGCTGAAATCGCAATAGCCTCTAGCATTTCTCCCCCGCCTAAATGCGAGCAGTGGGCGACGTCAGTACGTTTCTTGGTACGAGATAGTAATACATTATGATGGAGTTGTCGCAGCCGACCGTGCTTGACAACGTAAATCCTGAGCTCCAAATGTTCATTTCGACGCCTGCGTCATCGGTTGGCAATGAGTGCAATGTGGTGCTTCGAAGTTAAGAGCACTGGTTAAATTGCGTAGAGGCTATCTTAGTAAATAATATTCACATAATCCATCGCTAACGATCTCGTGACCGCTGCTTTGCAAAAGTACTATGATGTGTTCGCAAATATCTGATGTGTGAACACGTACAGCCGGCAGAACACGAAGAATTAGGCATGTATTTTATCTTCCCGGTTGCACTTTCTTCGTTCTTACAAAAACCATGTCGTGCTTGTCATAATCAGCGCAGAATCTTCCATGTAGCTCCGGTGGTCCACCATTTACCATTCTAAGAAATTGGCCACTTTCTTGTTATCCTTGCATGTCTGTAGTTTATAGATGCACTTTTCACAAAAATCTTCTTAACCTTCTCCCGGCAGAACAGGATTTATGCGTGTAGTGATGTCGTGTGCACATATCGCGGCAAACTTGCTTTTTCATGACATTCAACTGTGCCGGTATTCGGCCAGAAATACTTTTTGTTCAAGCTAGGATGTGTGCACCCTTGAACGAGACTCCTTTCGCGCTTCTCGCTTACTACAGGACCCCTGTTGGTCGCAATAATTTTGCACTTCATCCTACATAGATGAGGAATAAAATTCAAGCGCACTCCTCTATTTAAGCGCCTCTTCATTTACCCGCCTTTGTGAAGCAGTTTCCCTTGAAAAAGGCTGCGTAGCTGTCAGCGCAGGATATGATTCTCTGCGTTACACATAGCTTCGGGCCACATATTGTTACAGTTTGATGCCACCACATCTTCGTGCAACATGGGTTCAATCCTTAGCCTTCATTGTGGCCTTTAGGCTTCAGAACATGAAGGTTAGTTTCTCAGGGCAAAAAAAAAAAAAGTACACCGCACTGAGATATTCACTAGGTACAAGAGCCATACACTCAAATGACACCGATTCATTTCCGGTCTCGTATTTCGGACAAGCGTGCTCTGGCGGCACGTGGTCCCTCCATTACGGCAAATCATTTACTGCGCGTGTACGTTGGAGTTCCAAGAGACTCGTGTAAGGCGGAAGTGCCCGCTATATAAGAGTCTTGGCACGACCACCGTTCCTTCCTAGATATACCTGCGCTGAAGCTTATAATAAAGAGAAACCTTAAGAGTCACCCCCAAATCGTGGTGTGTTAATGACCTTCACCATTCCGCAGAATCAAAGTCATCCCAAGAGGCTTCTCGCTTGCATACGTAGACTTCGCAACTGTATGCCACGAGCGATGGTGTCGAGGCCTGGCATTTTATCAAGTATAATAACAACTGCAGTAAATTGGCCTGCGCTGCTTGCAATATGAAGTCTCTCGCATGAAACATCGTGAACACCTCGCACAAACATAAAATATGTTAAAAGTTACATTGATAAGAACACTTCGTTCATAAAACAACGGATGTGTTGCTGTCATGAAATCAGCTTCAATCGCATAGGCAAAAAAGTATTTTCTATAAGTAGTACTGCAGAAAAAACAAGACGGTGAATCATTTGTCATTTCGCTATTGCGCAGATCAGTTCGAGCATAAAATACGCAAGATGAAATCAGCAAATAACATCCAACAATATAATCCTAGTCATGGTAACGTCATCTTTGTCAAGGCAGCACACTAATATCGTTCAGATGATCCTGCCATTACGTTGATCATCAAAAGCCGTCAGGTCGACGTATTCAACATTACGAATAGAAGGTATACGTTTTAATAAATCCTGAAGGTTCTATGGAGCACATTTCGCAGGACCGCCTAAATCGGGATACATCTACTTGAAGGTGTCGCTGTGAACATTTTTCTGAAAAGAACAAAGACACTCCAATAAACAAGCAGCAATTTATCACAGAAGTTTATGTGCCAACTTGTATCAATGAACTTCCATGGAAGCGTCGAACATCATATGACAGTGATGCAAAAAAAAAAAAGAGTTGCTTCCGCAGAACGGGAAGGTTAAGGTACTAGTAGACTAACAATCTATGGTTTTAACATCCCGGAACTACAATATGAATATGAGAGACGACGCAAAGGAGGGCTTCGGAAACTTCGACAACCTGACATTCTTTAACGTGGATATAAATCTAAATAAACAGCCCTGGAGAATTTTCAACTTCATTGAAAATGCGGCAACCACGACAGGGATTCGATCCCACGATCTATGGGTGAGCATCCCAGCACACTAACTACTAGACTACCGTGGCGGGTCAGTTAACGTACTATGAAAGAGCCATTCTTATAACTGCTGAACACACAATGAAATGATCACATACTCTCTCACACTCTCCTACGTTAGAAAATTCTCTATCGAAACTTTCAAGCTAGGGACCAATTGAAGCTGCCTACCTGAAATAAAAGAACTGTCTGAAGGTCCTGTTCCACGTTTCTTATTCTTTCGGACTAAATGACTAACAGCTCGGCTTTTCCATCTTCATCATACTTCGCTAGCTTTGACCTCCAAAGATTGAAGCGTCATGGTGCAACGGTGCATCGCCTTCTTATGCCACGACGGCGAACCACTACGGCCATATGGCTCCTTAATTATCAACTCGACTGGAGTGCAGTTGAATCTTGGTTTAAGTGAGTTTTGCACTTTCAAACTCCCAGATTTGCTGTCGTCTCCATGTGGCATTTTAATAAATGTATGGAACATTAATCAGCCCTGACCATGTACGCTAACGAGACGGCATGGTAGCGGAGCCTCGTACTGGATGTCGAGTTTTCCAACGCTCCAAACTGAGAAGACACCGGGAAACCGCAGGGTGGCTATTTGGCTATTTAGAAGGGCAGAATATAACAAGAGGGAAAGCGCCACCAACGTGTCCTTCAAAAGGAGCACAGCACCTGCCTACGAGAATATATATATATATAGTGGGAGTAATAATTCAATGAGTCAGTTAGTCTTCGTGAAGGTATGGGATATGGCACAACGGGAGCGTTGTCAACAAGGATAAACATATTTATTTCCCAACAGTTTCGCGAAGGGTCCTTCCTTCATCAGTATAACTCATCCGCTGATGAAGGGAGGACCCCTCCCTTCATTATATATATATATATATATATATATATATATATATATATATATATATATATATATATATATATATATATATATATATATATATATATATATATATATATATATATATATATATATATATAATCCGGATGAAGGCCAAACTCTAGGCCGAAACCTCCAAATAAACCACGTGTGACCGCTCACGGAGGATATATATATATATATAAAGTAAAGCTTGAAGTGCCTTCCTTCATCAGTATTTTATTATTGTTAATAATGTTCGCATGGCCTTTTCGGGGTCGTATGTTGTGTGTTAGTCAAAACGATTTAAAAGTTCTAAACGCGATGGTTATACCTCCTACTGTAGATTATTCATTCCTGTTAACCGCTTGTTGCAATACGCTCGTGCTTACATTTCACATGTGGGGTCATTTTCATAAAGTAACCAATGTGCGTCGACTGAAATTTTGAGCTGAGACAGCATAAAGCCTGAAAAACACCGAGGCTTCGATAAACTTGACAACTAGCATCTGCATTCTGAGAAGCGTCTTGCGCAAAATAATTCGCTAAACCAATTGTACACAATCCTCATACCAGATATATAACTACGGAATCCGGCCGGACAACGGCAATGAGCGCCTATGAACAGAAAAATTTCAACAATATGGCCCCAGACACCTTTGAACTTGGTTGTAAAGTTTTTATATCAAGTGAGACTGAAAAACAACGATCACATGCCGTATCAAAAAGTGCCAGAAATGACTAACTTGGCAGGTGTGCTGAAAAACAGTCGTCAAAAGACCTCATTAAACTAATCCTTCTCGCAATCATGAAGTCGTAAAACAAAATACCGTGCGCTCTTATAGCTTAGTTTTAGATCGTTAGCGCACCTTAGCAATTAGACACAAGAAATGTGCACACACACTACAGAACACTAACTTTCACTAATGCTAGAGTTGTTGAAAGTTGGCGTCCAAATTTTAGGTATACGATTTATAGTAAAATGTTTCATTTGACAGCTTACGCACATATAGCAGGGTAGTGTCTAGTGACCTTGGAGCCATTCAGGCAGTTGCATTCATAATGCCTCGTTGAACGACGTTGTACTGATTCTGCAAGCCGCAAAATCTTGCTAAACGCGTGCAGCTGACGTGGTACCTAATTTTTTTTAACCTGCTGTTTTCACCACTTTGTCTCGATTACGTGAAAGCGTTCCTTCACTTGCCATGAAAGCATTGAACTCAGAGGCGAGTTTCACATTCGACGGTGGTGTTTTGTTAGTTTTGTTATTGTTTTCTCGGCTGATTGTAAGAAGCTTTTGAGACTTGAAAGTTCTGTGTGTTGTGGAACGCTTATAGGCACGAAAATTTAAAGAATCATCTCTCTCGATTGTAGCACGCATTGCACGCTTCAAAGACCGAAGTATATGTTTATGACTGTTTTAATGTTTTAGCTCTCTATTATCTCTGAGCATAATCGCCTATTTCTTTCTCACCTGGTTTTTCTTATTGTTCATCTTTTATATATCTTTGTGGCTTTTCCCCGTAAAACATGCATGCCTTGATACTAAACATATTCTCCCTGCAATAATTTCTACGAGGCAAGGCAGGTATTCGGCAAATTAACAAATAGTAAATAAGGTTTGCGTGCAAGCTGAATCT